GCAAGTCATTTTCGTGAAGGCTCACTCTCCAAGAATCACCATCACCATGATGGTGTTCATTCCGAGACTTTTCATCTAAGATGTGGTCCCTTGGAGGTGTTGAGTAAATCCGGTTAAAGAGTGAGAGGTGAGTTTAGCATGGTGTTCATTACCACCATCATCCTCTTAAGCAAATAACATATGTTCTGTAACTCAATTTTATTCATAAACATCATCAAATCCACTGTCCCAACACACATTTTTCATCGAATTCACGAATCACTTACTAAGTGGCCGTGCTCGGGTACCACTATGAGTTAAAGCCCAATTCTCAAATCATCTTTGGTCTCTATAATTACCAAAGGTTCATTGCTTGTTGTCTCATTCTGCCATAGAGACAAGGAGCGGCTTATTTTAGCCAATTTTCCTATTATAAGGTCTCAAGAAGTATCCTGAAATGATGCTCAAAACATAAGATCAAACTCATCAGTGTTCTTCTCACGCAAGGGAACAACCAAATTCATATAAAATGAAACTATTACTTTAGGACAAAGCTTAGAGGCTTCCCTATATGATCACTTCGTTGTTGACGAGTGCTAAAACAACTAACTTTGCGATTGAGTGGTATCTTCAGTGTGACGTAACTCTTAAGATTGTTGTCCAAAGACACTGTCCTTAAGAGTTATCCCGCCACACATGTTAGAATAAAAGGCAGCACTCCCCAGGATTAAACGAACCCTTCCTGCATAGAGCAAGGTTGTCGAACAGCAGAAATTTAAAACTCAGGAGAAGAGAGAGAGGAGGAGAGCTCGGGGATAGAACTTGACGCACACTAACCATACACATACACCACACATTGCCTTTTATAAGCAGATAATATGCGACCGTTGGGCTGCCATAATGCTGATTAAATATGATTTTAATGACAATTAAAAGAGCGGTTTTAAAACAATTAATTAAGGTAAATTAAATCATTTTAAAGCCATTAAATCTGGTTAATGAAAGAATAAAACTAACTAATAAAAACACATAAATGCTTCAACGGTCATCTCTAACGGTCGGTTTTAAAGACTCCTCTTCTCAGCTATTTTATTAGCTCAAGCTCACATCTTAGTAAATACTAAGGTTTTCTCAATCTTGAGTAATATGAGACTTCTTTTGACACACTCACAGACTAAAACTCCAACACTAAGGTTGTAACAATTGATTCTTTTTTCACAAACCAATCCCACCAAGCAAGTTCTAAATTTTTAAAAGCTTTTCTATAATTTCAAAATAGTTTTTCTATTCCATATTATTCAAACTCTATCCTAAATGGTTCAATTTAATTGAAAAAAACTCTTCATAGAGGAACTTGTAGGAGAAATAAATAAAAATTCACGTTACGTGGTGCCCAACCAGCATTTACTGGCCAAAAATCAAGATGCTGAACTTGAGATCATCAAATCAAATTTTAGATCTACAAACGGAAAATATACATTGCTATAGTATCTTATGGGTAAGCTATATTTTAAATTTCAACCGATAATTCCCTCTCTAAGATTTTCAAATTGTTACTCAGAATTCTAGCCCATACAAATTTTTCTAAGGTTTGCAGTAAGAACAGGGATACCATAATTTAGATTCAATTCCCAAGATTCTTTAACTTATATTATCTCTAAATTACTAGATTCATTAGAATCATCAATTATAATTGATTTATAACCCAAGTAGAAATCTCTTAATTTATAGCCTATGTCTTATTTTCAAAGAACTTGGAAAAACAGATTTAATACGAGTTACATTATTCTCACTACGGAAGTTTAATCATTGATCTAACCATTGAAATTAATGTATTGGATGTCTTGAGTCTATTTTTGAAATTTTGGCTTGATCTAACAGTGAACAAATTTAAAAACAATAATTTACTACTCAGAGTTCTATCTACAAAATCTGAAAAAAAAAAAAAAAGGAGTTTAATATATACCTAAAAACTCATACCTTAGATATTGACTAATCTAACTGTTGAAATTGACGAGTTGGATGTCTCAGACGAGAAGACTAAATTTTAGCCCAATCTAACAGTTTATGAATTCGCACATAGCACTTTACGGAGATTATCTCAGTTTTGTACGAAAATTATTTTACTTCTTCTTAGCTCTCTCTTACTACCACCTATTTATACGCTCATAGAGTCTCATCTTCCCATCATTTAGTCAATATGGGATTTTTTAACCTTTCTATTTTATTCATTGATTCATATATATATAATTATACATATACATACATATGATCATAAATATTTTAATTGCTTATATATATATTTAATCTCTGTTAAATCACTATTAACAAATATTTACTCATATATTTACTTGAGGTTTTAGAGATTAAAAAAATAGGATGTTACACCCAACTTGTCCTTGCTAAGCCTAAAATGATTAACGCTTCTACCAAGTATATGTAGGCAATGCTACAAAATGTAGCCCAGCCATCTTTCGGGCTAAGCATTAGGCAAGATCCTTGCCTAAACCGTAGTCCAGTCCATATGCAACCCTAAGTGGGATAAAGAAAGGGTTAGCCATATAACATCATATGATGGTCGTACTATATGATAATAAAGTAACTCCATGATCAAGCTAACCTTTCATCATTCATTCATAATTAACAATAAAAAATGTAACATACTACCTCTGATTTTAAATATAAAATATAGTTTGTATTTAGAATTGAGTTATAAACTAGATCTTATATTAAGAATCGGAGATAGTATATCATATATATTCCAAGCATATTTCTTTTTCTTTTTTTTTTTTACCGGCTATTCCAAGCATATTCCAAATCAATGTCATAAAATCATAACTTTCAAGTGTAAATTTAGGTCCGGATCCTCTTCGAATTCCTCCCTCTTATTTTCCTCTCAGAGTCCCATATTCATCCTTGGATTAAAAATGAATGATTCAGACTTAATATTTGAAAAATGGATGTCCACTTTCTCTCTCCTAATTATGTACTTAAAGCTAAACTATTCATTTTTTGATCTAATGGATATGGAATTCTACGAGAAAAATGAAAAAGAATGAATCTGCGAAAATGTCCTTCTGTGTCCTTTTCAAGCGTTTTGTCTCACGAGACAGTCTTACAAAATTACCTATTATTGAAAATTTTACATGTATTTTTCAACCAAAATTTAATTACGATTATAGTAGCATTTTTTGAAAAAGATAATGAGTGTTTTGTACTTTTACCCAATATTCTTTTTAGTAATATTACATAGATATTAATCAAGAGAGAATCCTATATAAATACCATTTGAATTTTAAAATGTCAAATTAGTTATTCTAATTTCATAAAAAACAAATAAGCCTTTAGGTATTCATTTGGGATTTACAATTTTTGACAATTTACCTACATACCCCTTCTTTCATTCTCTTTTTTTCAGATCAAAGAGAGCTCTTCTCCCTTTCTTCAGGCTCTTTTCTCCCTCCCTTACGATGTTCCCCGTGTCATTCTCTTCAAAAATAATTACAAACTCTCTCCTCACTTCTAAGTCGTCCCTCTCCAAACTTCCAAGTCCGGATCATTTGTTTAGGGTTCCTTTGAACTTCCAACCTCCAAAATTATTTTAAATTACCTCTATGTTCCTTATGTTACCATTCTTTAATCATACAATGGGCTACTTCTTTATTTCTCTGGCTTCCTCATCATGCTTGAAGAACACATATTTGTACCCTGGGCTTTTTCATTCCTCATTTGAATATATGTAATGTAATGGCTATCACAGGGCTACTGGTTTTTGATAAATACCATCATTTTAATGGTCAATTCTATTACAAATGTAGTAAATAATAAAAGTTATTATTAACATGTTTATTATGACATACTTTAAGTGTACTTATCTACTATCTACTAATTTCTCAAAACATTTAGGTCATTGTTTAGTAAAATTATTTGGAAATGACTAATAACAGGTTGCAAAATATGTCATGGAAATGGACAAATTCATTTCACAAGTTGTCAATCATGCTACATATTTGGTAAAATTGTTTGGAAATGACTAATAACAGGTTGTGAAATATATTATAAAAATGGGTACTTTCATTTCGCAAGTGATTAGTCACATTACATGTTTAGTAATTTTATTCAACTCAATCCCCTAAGTTTCGCCTAGTTTGTAAATGGCTAATAACAGATTGCAAAACACGTTATGAAAATGGTTAAATTCAATTTGAAAATTGTTAATCACTTTACAAAACCTGTCAATGTTTTCCATTTTACTTCAATGGTAGTTTAGTACCAAACTTTGCAAATCTCATATTTCTACCTCATGACCATTTGGTCCTTTCACTTATTTACATAACCTATTTGTCTTTTTAAATTTCAAAAGGTAGTTTTAGGTCATTTTTCCATTAATCAATGTACACAATTATGTGTCTTATTTGATTAATTTGAGTCGACATAGTCAAATAGAATAACCATTCATCCATCATGTTTTTAAATTTATTTCTTACCATGCCCAATGGCACCAGGTGGTTCCCACTAAATTTTAGATGATCTTATGTTGCCTTCTTTGACCTCAATTTAAAAAATTCATTCCAGGAAAAAAGTAAGAAAATTATTGTTAACAAATATAGTATTATATTATTGTTATAATATATTCTTTTCACAATCCCCAATCCAATTTTAACCATTCTTGCTGGGACTGCTAAGGAAGGGGCGGGCCGAAACGATCTCGCCGTCTCACAGTCTGTTTGATATGAGGAAAAATGAGATGAGAAAAAGAAAGAAAAATTTTAACAAATTCAATTTAAAAATTAAAAAAGTAAGATAAACATAATTAATTTTTATTTTTTTATATTATTTTTTAATTAAAATTTTAAAATCACACTTCTTCAATTTTTTAAGTAGAGTTTCTTAAAAGAAGATTTTTCCCTCCTCACTCCTCCGTTTCCCCTTGGGATCTGATAGCACCCAAGGTATTCCGTAGTTAATTTTTTTAATTACTAAAACACCCTTCTCCATGTGGAATCGACTGAATCGTAATCCCTTGCCTTGTCCATTCTTCGCGTTCTGCGGAGTCCGGAGTCCAGAGTCCAGCCACCCTTCTCAGTTCTAACGACCTCTCAAGCCACCTCGTTTTGCAGCCGCCGGCCCAGCCTTCATCGTTCGCCGGCAACGCCAATCCTCTCCGTCGCGATATCGCAGTCAGGTATATGGCGGAAACCACCTCCTTTCTGAATTCGTCGTCAAACATCGCTCTCTACTTTCTTCGTGCTTTCTGCATAAACAAGTTCTTGTAAAAGGAAAATGAATCTTTGATATCTTTGTGGCTTAACTTTTTCTGAAATACTGCCTTTGTGAGCCCTAAACTTGTTGTGAAATGCTGCATTAGTAAGCCCTCAGTCTCTTCAACCCGGCAAAATGCTCAAGATCCCTAGTTGAAGCTACTAGGGAAAAAACTGCATTGCATTTTCTCTCTTGTTTTCTTTTCTAGGTATTCTCTCTTTGGAATCCTTAATTTGGCCATAGCTGATAAGAATAATTGGATAATTACGTTTGCTGGTTTTGCAAAAGGCCATATTAATGTAAACGCCATTCCGTGTTTCTTCCTGGTCCTTGCTTACCTTCCTGTTCTATTCTGAGACCCAATTATAATTTGATTTGTAAACAGATTAGTAATCATAGAAAGAGATGGTTTATGTAATTATTTTAAACCCCTTTCTACTACAACTAGGTACTATTATTTGTATGCTACTATCACCAAAGGAAAATGTGTGGTTGATGTCCCAGTAAAACTGTATTGTTTTCTGGTATTGTCCCATAATCACTCTCTAACCCTGGTTTTCCTTCCACGCCAGTGGATGAGGGAAAAAGAGCATTTTACACATTCATCTTGAATGATGGTAGTGATAACAGAATGCAAGGAATGTATAACCCCTGGTTTCATAATTCCATGGTTGCAAGTTGAAACACCTCACTTATCCTGATTTTGTAGCACATCAGGCATTTTTTTATCAGTACATGGTTCCAGGTTGTAAACTGGAGCTATTTGTCCATATTTTGTAGTGTGCTCTGTGCTTGAGCCTTTAATTTATGACATTTGTAAAATGCTAGCTTGTTGCATTTTTATTTACTTTTGTTATGACATTTAATATATATTACTTTTTTAATTATCAATGAAATTGAGTTTTTATACAATCTAGTGACAAAATTTTATTTTTATATTATAATAAAAATATTTAAGTTGATGTCAATGAATTATGATATAGCCATATTGTTTCAAAAAAACAACATATAAAAAATGGAAAAAAAGAGACAAGAAAGGAGCTTAAATTTGATAGGGGTATAATAGTCTATTTATTATTATTTCGATTCTCTCCTCTTGCAAACCAAAGTAACATTAAAATTCTTTCCCTTCCCTTCCTTCCACTAAAATCCCTTCCTTCCTATCTCCTCCCTTCTGGTGAACCAAACAGACCCTTATTGTTCCAGAGTGTCATTGCCATGTGGTTGTGCTTGCAGGTTGTCAGTGATGGACTCGAACACTTTTGTTGAAGAAAATGAAACTTCAGATCCGACAAATAACGTAGAAGAGCCTGGTAACAGTGTAGAAGAGGCTTCTGAGCTTCCTTCACCACTTCAAAATCATATAGATGATGGGAAAGGTATAGCCTTTTAAAATATTTGATGTAGCTGCTGTCATTATCCATGATTGGGATTTATGCATTTGAATAAATTCCTCTAGTCTATGATATATTAGTAATGAATTTGTTTGAAGTCTATATTACAAGAGTGTTCTTTTTGTTTGTTGATTCCAGTCTCATTTCAGACACTTTCTCTGTCTCTTCCTTGTAAACGCACTAGATCTTCTATATAATTTCATTTACCAGAAATTGGAAAGGAAAATCTTAAGCACTAGAATAATCCAGATTATTATATTTTGCCCTAAAACAGCTCAAGGAAACAAGAACCACGGACCCTCAGAAGAAGAAAATATTAATCCTTTTGGAAGCTCAGTCAAGTGGGGTAACTAGTTTAATCATGTCCTGGACAAAGTCTTTGAACTAGAATAAATACTAATGATACTGAATCTCACTCAAACGTTGCCCATTCAGAGCCCAAAGGACTTGATATACTCATTTGGCCTTAGTACTTCACAAAGCAATAAATTCTGAGGTCCAGTTATGATAAAATCAATACCTTTGTATCTCTTAAGAACTTCAAATCTTAGTAGAGAAACCATGCTTCTGAATGTGCAATAAAAGATTGTGCTTCTAGCAAGAAATTTCTCTGCCTTGAGCCTGTTGGGGGCTTTACGGCCGACCCAGTGGATTGGAAGATGCTAGGGTAGCAAGAAGGGAGCAAGTTTTAGTTATTTGCCTTTACTGTTATTTAGAAGTTATTGTGGCAGAACAAGAGTGACATTGATGAGGTGCTTATTCCCTGTAACAATAAACCATGCAAATATCTTGAAGATAACAATAAACCATGCAAATATCTTGAAGATATTATTATTTCCTTCTGGGAAGAGATTGGGAAAGATGCTATTATTTATCTAAAATCTGGGATTAAGGGAGTGTTTGGCAACCTCCAAACCATGGTTTCAGAAGCACTTTTCCGCAAAACGAGACAAATTCCTCCATATATTTATTTCGTAAACCGTAAAAGCACTTCTGAAACCATGGTTTGGTTTCTATCCAAACACCCCCTAAATATAAGAAATTCTAGTTTATATGTATGTGTGTGTATTATCTTTTGTGTTTCGTTTTCTATAAACAGAATTGTTTTCAAAAGCTGGAACTAAACCAGCTATTGATGATTCTATTTTTCTCTCATCTGGTTCTATCTTTTTTTTTTCCCCACCTTTTTGCTTCAAATTCTGCAAAATTTTTTCTTGATATGCTCATTTGAAAGTTCAAAGCCTCTCCTAAGATTGAGGATTTCATTTTGATGGAGGTACTTGATAGTACCGATACTAATAGCATTTTTCTTGTTTGTAGATCTAATAAAGCTTTCTTAGTTGATGTGCACATGGTGTGTGATCTTATCTTAAAAAAGACTTTTCTCATTATAGTGCCCAGCCTCCTTCTCCATGTAGGATATGCCTCCTTTTCCACGTAGGATATGCTTTTTCTTGCATTTGTTGAACCTTGAGTTCATGATGTCAGCTATTAGATTTAGGAACTTTGATTTTTCTATTGTTCAGTTTTAAAGCTTTGACTATATTAAGGAAGTCAGGATTGTATGGGAATTTTTATGTAGCTACCCCATGGTGCATATGGCTGGAGGAAAATGCTTAGATCTTAAGGACAAAAGTTGATCCTGAAATTTATCAAGGGATGGGATATTTATGACATTTATTTTGGTTTTTAACACTTGGTTTGTTCATGGGAGTTTCCTTGACAATTGTGCAGAGACGTTTTGGAGCTTTTCTGTTCTAGTATGTTTCTCATCTTTTTTGTCATAAGTTTTGCATGTTTCCTTTATGTAAGGAGGTCTTGTTATTTTTTTATCTGTACTTTTCTTCATCTAGCATTAGATATTTAATGATGTTCCGTATTTATTTTATGTTGATAACATATGAAATGGTCTTTGTTTAAATATCTATTCTCTTTCAGCAGAAGTTGCAAAGAAGAAAAAGAAGAAAAATAAAAGCAAGTGAGGAAAATTCCCGGTCTTAATGTTTTTTCTCCAAATTTCTCCATTTTGCTGATTTTCTCATTTTATCTCTCTTTATGATAAGGAAAAAGAAAGAAATACCAGCGCAGACTGATCCACCGTCAATTCCTGTTCTTGACCTTTTCCCATCTGGAGATTTCCCTGAAGGAGAAATTCAGCAGTACAAAGATGAGTAAGTATACGAGGGAAAATTTTTTGGCAACATTTGTAATTTTAATTCCAAATTTTTATTGCAAATTTGGTTTGAGTTTGAATTCAGGTAAGGTGAATGTGCAGTTTACTCAACTTTTGCTTTTCTTAGTTTCTCCTCTTTTTGACATGGACGCGAGTGACTTTTTTCCTTTGCATTATTCTGGGGTAATTAATATTTATCCTTGGACCAGCACTTGACTTTTCCCACTGTTGTTTTTTTTTTAAATAATTTTTTTATTGAATATTTATGCTTGATTCAAAATTGTGGAAATTCCATCACTAGTATTAGAATATTTGTCTTCCATTGTGATGTAAGTACCCATAGTTATAGGAGTCGATTTAGGATCTAGTTTATTGTATTTATTGTATTCCAGATTTCTTGGACTCCTAATTTATGCCCTTTGGTGTATATATTTTGCTCTCTCCTTACTCAGAAATGCAAGGAATAAAATATTCTTTCCATTCGCACAAAAACTGTTCCTGCAGCAAGGCAGAAAGTGGTTGTGTACCTCATTTAGAAATTCCTTTGTGCTTGGAAATTCATTTCAAGAGATTATATCTCTTTGATGCCGGTGGTTTCTTTGAAATTGGGTCATGTTTCTTAAAAAAAAAATAGATTTTGTGAGCATAGATGAGAAATCTATTTTCAGCAGCGCATTGTTTTCTTATTGGCTTTCTGATCTGCATAATTCTCCTATTACTAATTTCTTCGTGATTAATTCTGATTGTTCTTGTTTGTCTTATTTCTTATTTTTTGTGGGACAAATAAAGGTGGAAAAGTTTTGTGTGAATGTGCATTTTCACTGTTACTTGGTTTATTTGGTTGGAAAGGAATGCTAAGAGCTTTAAAGTTTCCTTGGCCACTCTAAATGACTTGTGGAGAAGAGTGACATTCCCTATTTCCCTTTGATTTTCCGTTCAGTGGTTATTTGCAGTCTCTTTGACTACATGACTAGGGATTGGGCGTCATTATTTTTTCTATTTTGTGCATTTTTCTACTTCCCCCTTGTTTCTCCCTTTCATGAGGTTGTCTTATCCTCCATTCTTGTACCTATCTAACAAGTTTTTTCCTCATAAGTTATAAAAGAATTAATTGCCTGCTTTATATTCAGTATGCAACTATTGCTTTAAATTGTTGAACTTATATTAGGACTCTTCACTTGTCAATATTGGCTTTATTTTCTGCTTCTGCATTCACCTGCACTTTACTTTTATGTCGGACATGTAATTTTTTGTCCCTGTTGTCAATTTCACTAGATAGAAATACTTTCAGGTTATTACATTTGAATTTTTTTTTTTGGGGGGTGATTTAAGGCCCCATATATATGCATATATCGATTTAGGGCTTTCTAATTTCAACAGGAAAAAAAAGTTATTTTAGATTGCTGAAAAAGTACTTTATTGTTTAAAGATTTTATGAAAAGTGGAAATTATTTTGCATTTTGTAATTATTAGAAAACACTTTTTACTTGAAAGTAAGAAGCTACTCAGAATAGTTCCTCTGAATAATCATTAATATAATTTTTTTCCTGATTCTGATTATGTTTGATAGCTTGAACAAACATTCTAAAATTTGTCAGAACTACTTTTTTTTTTTTTTTTTTAATATTTCTTTCATGAAGAAAAGCTGAAACAAACAAGCCCTTAATGTATGTGTGTATGTGGGTGTTGGAATTTAACATTCAAATACTAACTTCTGCTTCTCATTAGAGCTCCACAGATGAAACCTGTATAAGAAAAGGTACCTTATTTTAAAACTTAAACAAACAATCTTTTTGGCTTCACCAATTTTTTATTTCAAACCTCGGGTGGCTATTTATTCTTGTTATTGCTTTAGTCTTGTTTTTCTGTAAGGTATATTGTTGGAGTATATTGGAAATTATTTTGATGGTTTTTTCCCTCAAAATCGTAGGAATAACTACTGAATGCATGACATACATCATGCGAGAAGTTCAGTTGGTGCCTTCTACATTACTAGCTCATTGACTCTTGCGGTTTTTCATTTTTGCTAAGTAGCAACTTTCAAAATCTTACTTAACTCATGAAGGAATACAAAAATATATATAGAAGCAGATGGCAACAGGTCTACGATTCAATTTCAGAAAATCATCTTCCATGATGACACAATAAAAGCAGTGCAATTTTAGGTTCTAAGGAAGGGAAGTCTTGGTTAGACTTTCGTCTTTTGTCTTTTTTCCATGCTTTCTGTTGGTCAACAACCAAAAGACAGTTGACATATCTTAATACATTATTAGACAACAAGTATACACAGATAAGACTTAATAAATGCTCAGGATTTTCAATAGGATTTTACTTATTAGTAGCTTTCATACAATTGTACACACGCACACACAGGCTTCTTGTAATTTTCTTTTAAGAGTAATGTCTTCTGTAATTTTTTTTTTCCATTTTACATTACACTGAAGTCTGTTGATGATCATTATGCTTCGGGCATTGCTCTTTAAATGACCAGATACCATTACTGAGTTGTTATCTATATGCCAGTAACCTCTGGAGGACTACATCTGAGGAGAAGAGAGAGTTGGAGCGCCTTCAGAAACCAATATATAATTCAGTTCGTCGGGCAGCGGAAGTTCATCGTCAGGTTGTGATTCGCCTTATTTGGTTCCAAGGTTAACTTTGTTTTAATGGGCTATCTTTGTGGAATGAAAAGGAGGGAGAAAATAATTGAAGATTGTACCTTTGACTTGTGTAAACAGGGAGGGGAAAATGAGATTGGAAGTGTGGAGATGATACAATTAGATCCAAATATATTCAAATTAATGGAAACTGCTGGGGTGTAAGTTAACTAGATGATCATACAAACTAGAAAATAGAAATCAACAATGGAAAATGAAATTCTAACAATTTGAGAGGCTTGATACCCCCAAACGTCTCACACACATCCTACCTTCTCCATTGGTCTTGCTGACCCCAAATTGCCTTTATTCGCTACCCCTCTCTTCTTTGACTGTCAAAGTTAGGCAATCTTATCGACCTTTTGCAATCATTCTGCTTCCCCTAAGCCCCACTGGCCCATTTCTCTTATTCTCCCCCTCATTCTCCCCCTCCTTCTAGAATAGTTCATTAAAGTCCCATATTTAATTTTGTTCCCCTTTCTTGTGTAGGTGGGCAAGGACAAAGGTCCCTTTCCATATCATAAGGGGGAAAAAAAATAAAACAAATATTGAACCTACTACTTTTTATTTTAAGTTGAGTAAACCATGAAAAGAAAGTTGCTTTTAAAAATCATATCACCTTTGTTTCAGATCTTAGTGAGATATGCTTTTTGTAAGTGTTAAAATATAACAAGAATATATTATTTTTATTGCAATCTGATATTTTCTTTTCTCATCTGATTTATACTGCATGCGTGTGTTTGTGTGTGTGTGTGTGTTTTTTTTTTTTGGGGCTTTGTTTTCCCCCTTTGGTCTCTGTTAAAAATTCAGAAACAATATCTTATCCATCTTTATATCCATTTTTTTTCCATTTACTTAATTACATTTAGTGTGGTTTGAAAAATACATTTGTTCTCTGATAAGATTTTAGCTTGGGAGTGTAATTGTCTAGCAATATCTATGCACACATATACTTGAGGGGGTATTCATTATGTATAAATCAGGTTCGCAAATATATAAGAGGCATTGTGAAGCCTGGAATGTTGATGACTGACTTGTGTGAAACTTTGGAGAACACTGTTCGTAAGCTAATCTCAGAGGATGGTCTGCAAGCTGGCATTGCATTTCCCACAGGATGCTCATTGAATTGGTTATTCTTTAAAGCTTGATTTTGTTTTTCCTCTCCTCATTGGTGGTTTCTACCTGGAATAGTCTGTTATTAGAAATTTTTTCACCCCCAGGGTTGCTGCTCACTGGACCCCAAACACAGGAGATAAGACTGTGCTTCAATATGATGATGTAATGAAGTTGGATTTTGGAACTCATGTAGATGGTAATATCTTAAAAGTCTTAATTTATTCGGATGCATGTATTGTTGGAACTATCGTTGATAATAGGTTACTGGTTTGGTACTCTGCCCAGCCTCTTATTATGATTTTTGCGTGCAGGGTACATAGTCGACTGTGCATTTACAGTGGCATTTAACCCTATGTTTGATCCACTGCTTGAAGCCTCTCGTGAAGCAACCAATACGGGTATTAAGGTATTGAAGTTTCTGTATTGAAGTTTGATTGAGTCATGTTGAAAAAGGAGTGGTCCGGACGTAGGTGTAGATTTTGGTTGTATTAATTTCAACCCTGCGTTCTTGCAAGGTGATTCTAACTTTTTGTTTGTTATTTTTATAGTAGAAAAGTTTAAGAAATTAAATAACAACCAAGCTAACGGCTCGTAACATAACAATGCTTTCTGTTTTACTTATATATTGATATATTGTTTAATTTGACTAGAAAATAACCAACAGCCATTTTTTCCTAAATTATGTTTTCACATAATTATTTGGCATGTGTCAGTTAAGGTGTATTATAATTAGTTCCACCAAAATGTTTTGCCTAACTGTACAGGAAGCAGGAGTTGATGTGCGCCTTTGTGATGTTGGTGCTGCAATCCAAGAGGTCATGGAGTCATATGAGGTTGAGATTAATGGGAAGGTGTATCAAGGTGAGATGCTCATGCGGATTTTTTTTGCTTAATTTCTTGGTTCTCTAGTATTTTCCTTTCCATAAAATGTATTTTATTTGGCTCATTTTTTATCCATGTTACATTTAATTTTATGTGAATGAACTTGAGGCTTAGCTTTCCCATTTCTTTATAATTACATATCATGTAAAACTACAATGATTGCCACTTATTGAGGGCTCATGCTTATTTTGACGCCAAATATAATAGGGACAAACACAAGAATCACATCCGTTTTCTATTCAAAAGTTACATGTTGACATTTAGATTCTTCACTAGCTGCTAATCTGATGTCATCTTGCTATGTGGTGTATGTTTGTTGGCTAGAGTAGGAAGAAGCCTGCATAGAATTTGTTGTGTTGGAGATAGTGATAGAAATCGTACAGGACTTGCAGAGTTATTTTAATACATGTAAAAGATAGTGCGGCTGAATTTCAGAGGAAACAGATTGTAAGAGATTTATCGAAAAGATATTGCGGCTAAAACCAGAAGGGGCTAAAAGAGGCAGAGAAAGCTGTATCTTCTGGTCGCAGAATATGCCAAGGTTTATACTTGAGGAGATAAGGTATTGGGAGCACAAGGGTAGGTAAAGCTGAGGGACTGGACAGTCGTGTGATGAGTGTTTAGAGTTGTGGAACTCTTGAGTCTCACTTTAGCAAGATGAGTCTTTTTGAAAGAAAGTGTTTCTGGGAGAGTCTGGCCTCTCTAATACCAAAAGTGTTTATGTAGAATGTTTGATGCTGTCTTTTGATCTCCATGATAATTTTTTGTTGCTGTCAAGCTGTAAGGGGAGTTTGGGCTTTCGCTGACATTGTCTTTGTTCATTTGGGCCTGATACAGGGTACTACTTGCATTTGTTACCCAAGCACTGATTCAGCTATTTCTGTTCTAAACTTGACTTATTTTTTCTGGTTTTTATGAGTTTGTGTGAAGTTTCTGTGATTTAGTTACAAGTCCCTATCTGAATGCTTGCAAAAAACTAATATTGTCGCCTTTGAATGTTGTGAGATGTATGTATATGACTTTTATTTGGTACTCTGCGCGTAGCTTTTTTAGGTGGAATTTTCATTTCTGATACATATGTTCAGCTCTTTCACTTTTTGCCTTCAGCCAAAGTTGAACAGCTGTTTTACACTGACCAGTTTCATAGGATTTTAGTTCATGTTGTTTTGAGGATATCCTTACATTTTGTATTATCTTCATTCTAATGCAAAATTTTCTTTTGTATAAAAGAACGGCCCTTGGGAAAAATTTCAACAATTGATTGTGCAGTGAAACCATCTTGTTTCTCTCGTTTTATGTTGGAACTTGTGTTTTTTTTCCTCCCTCCTGTTTGGATGAGTGTTTTGTGAAAGCCATACAAGTTCTATGGGAAAATATGCCTTGTTTACGGGGAACAACCTTATGCAGTGCGTCAAGGAATTGAGATAAGAGTTTTCTGTGCATTTGGTTCTGCGTTCATAGTTGCTTTAAACTACTGATGCTTTATGCAAGTCAAAAGCTTAAGATCATCGATGAGATTCTTGTAAAGTTATGCGCTTGCACATTTGTCTTGATGTTCCTCCTTCAAAATATCTAACGAGTAAACTACTGCTTATAATTTGATTCTTATTGTAGTGAAGAGCATACGGAATTTGAATGGACATAGCATAGGCCGTTACCAAATCCATGCTGGTAAATCAGTTCCAATTGTGAAAGGAGGAGAGCAGACAAAAATGGAGGAGGGTGAATTTTACGCCATTGAAACCTTTGGATCAACTGGTAGTTGCTGCTGCTTAAGATGTTGGGGATTAATATTAGAATTTTGAGTCCACACTAATACATAATCCAATTGCTCATTTATGTGCAGGGAAAGGATATGTAAGAGAAGATTTGGAGTGCAGTCACTACATGAAGAATTTCGATGTTGGTCATGTCCCGCTGAGATTGCCTAGAGCAAAGCAGCTGTTAGCCACTATTAACAAGAACTTCTCCACTTTGGCCTTTTGTAGACGGTATTTGGATCGCCTTGGCGAGACTAAGTACTTAATGGCATTGAAGAACCTGTGTGATTCTAATATTGTTCAGGTATTTCTCATCACTACCTCCATATTTGGGAAATAAAAGATCAGAAGAAATTTTTGCTCATATTCTAGATCCTTGAAGTTGTATTAACCCAAAAAAAAAAAAAATCCTTAGTTGATTGGCTCATGATTATTCACCATGCATCCCATAACATGTAATTTCAGCTCTTAAAATATAGTGTTTCTTCATGATATCCATATTTAGTGCATTGACATTCAATGTGGTCTATTTGGCGTTTTCTCTTTAGGCTGTCTGTCAGAAAATTAAAATTTTTCAAAAACAATTATGTTTTTTGTTTAATTAGATAAATTTCTGTGAGGATTTTTGCTACGATGATGAATTTTCCCTTTGGAAGTTGACAGTGGTGTGGTGGTTACCTGGAAATTCTATATTTAGACCGAGATAGGGCATGCCCATATTTTATTCCATATGATTTTACCTTTCCTTTTTTTTAGTTTAAAAGCAGATTAGCAGTTGTATTATTCTGAAGACCACTTGGATGTCTCTGGCAACGGAAGAGTCTAATCTCTCTTTTTTGGTGCAGCCTTATCCTCCTCTGTGCGATGTGAAGGGAAGCTATGTATCACAATTTGAGCATACGATCTTGCTCCGACCAACATGCAAAGAAGTTATTTCGAGGGGTGATGATTACTAATGTCAAATGTCCCCACTAATGAGTATATTAGTTCCCTTTTCGGTTTGTATGAGTAATCTTCAATTTAGTATGTTGAAAATTTTTAGAGGTATTTTGGATTGTGCTAAACTTTCACTATAGGAATTACTGAACAGTTATTATTACTTTAAATCCGAACAAAATGTGGATGTTTTCAGTCGGATTGGGAATATTAAGGGGTCGTTTGGTTCATCGAATCATAGGTAATAGAATGTAATGTAATAACAGGGAATGTAATACAATGCAAAGAAGATTACAATGAATTTGTTTGGTTCAACTTAATAATGTTAAAAAGAATAATAATTTTTATATTAAATTTAATAATCATAAAAATGAAAAAGAGTGAAATATTCTTATCTTTTTTCTTATTGTCCCCTTCCAACTCAATGCCTTATTCCTCCTCCTCCATCCACATCAATCACCATAATAAATTTCCAGAAAAATAATCTTTCAAAACAGAAAGAGTTGTTCACCAAAAACAAAAAAAGAATTGTGAAATCATTAGGTGGAGGAGGTATCATATTTGCAAAAATGAATTAGGATTCAAATTAACAAGACATACTTGGGTTCATATATAGAAAAAGCGAAATTATAAAGGTAAAGGAGGTAGAGGTCGTTGCTGAAGGGAAATCGATGGGGCAGGTAGATCTGCGAAGTAACTGGAATTTTGGAGATGATTAGAAGGAGTTCAAATGAGTATGGAGAAGTTTGATGGTGGCGACAACAATGCGGAGGTGAAGCATACAAGGAGATTGATGGTTGTTGCTAGGAATAGGTTTGTTGGTGAGTGGTAGATGGCCAGGGAGGAAGAATGGTTGACGGTTTCTTACTTTATTTTAAGGATAAAAGTGTAATTTTATCATGTCGTAATCCTCATTCATGGGGATAATTAATTTATGGGTAATTTTTGTCTAATTGACGTTATTTGGCTGGTTTGGATTCTTTACGTTCACCGAAATTGATGGATAAGATAGAGAAGAATTTATTAATATAATTAGGCTAGAATAATACATAAAGCTTCCCTCAAATATACCTTGGTTGCATTTAATTGAACAACCTCATAGCTTTCAGATTTTAATCAATAGCCCCATGCTGTGATGATGATTAGATTTAAAGGAATTTATGCCATCTCATATTATTTTAAATTATTTAATAGATTGGTGTAACAGTAATTTGTTGTAGTGTATCACCTCACGTCCTTTGTATATATTCCTCTATCCTATTTTTAAGTTATGTTTAATATGTTTTGCACAGCGAATTATAAACTTCATTAATTGTTATTTGAGATTCAATAGTTTTTTAATTTTATTCATATTTAATATACATTATATCTTATAAGAATAATGTCAACACAAGAAATAAAGAGTAAAATTTTCTATTCATGGCAAAAGTTTCTCTCTTTGCCTTATGAATAAGACAAAAAATTTTTTCTCTACCCTATGAGTAGGACTAGAGGAGTAAGAATTAATTAGATATTTAATTTGGTTTTAAATATAATATTTTAATTTATTTTGTTTCTAATATTTATTTATTTTACTCCAAGTAATAATTACACGTTAAGGAGTTTTCCTTAAGGGGTAATTCCATCGCATATGATTAATGACGATATTTTTAAAATAAATTATTTATTATTACAAATAAATAACTTATTTTCTTAATATTTGTCTAGCTCAAGGATTGAAGGTAGTGGTAAATTATTTATGCAACATTTCTTTCAGCTTCTGATCATCTACTTCGTCTTCGTGCTTGTAGATCTCATCTCTATCACATTATTCATTTAAGATGGAGTAGTTTTTTTTTCCCTAGTAATACAGTCATTGGTTATCATTTCAAATCAGAATTTTTGATCCCAAGTTTATTTCGTTTAAAACTATTAGTCCCCCTAATTTAAAAAGGATTTGGTGTTTATGTTCGCTGCGTAAATGATGCTAACGTGTCACTAACACTGTCTAATTTGCTGATGTGGCATGTTGACTGGGTAACAAGACTTGGTGATCATTTTGCTAACTTGGATGTTTGATTTAGGAAGTGTTTGGAAAAATCCACAATCACTTAAAAAAGTACTTTTATGAGATAAAATATTTTTAGGTGATCATGCAGTTCCCAAGCTCCCCTTTGAAGAAGGGCACGCATAAAACAAAATGCGTTGAGGGGGGAAAGCCTAACATGATTGAAGCCTGAAGGAAAAAGGAAGCGGGTTAGGTCAAGGAGCACCCACAGCCCGAGAAGTCTTACATAGCCATCATCATTTCAGTCGGCGCCAGTGACTGTCTGTGAAGGTCACAGGAACATTCTCATTAGCATCCCATTGGGTTCACAGCCAAGAATTCTTTCTGTTCAATCCGTTCGGCAAAAAAACATGAGCAATGTTTTGCTGTGATGTGCTCTTTAAATGCTCTATTTTTATTATTATTATTTCTACAATCAATCAAGCTTCCGTGCTATTTTATTTTGTTCTTTGTTCTTTGATTACTAGTTTTTGTTATTAGTTTTATATTGCAGATGGTATACAAAAAGTAAATAGATGGCCGACTTTTGTGTTCCTTTCCTATCTTGTACAATGACATGTAATGTGCTCTGTTTTAGTACATGATTATCGCAAAATTCATGATCCGATTCTGCGGTTATAGTATATGTTTGTCTTTTTGTCCTTTTTGTTAAACTGCTGGAGTCATGGGTTTGCTACTCATAGATTTTCGGGACTTTAATTATATTCCTGAGAAGGTTTTTTTCTCCCTATTTATAAGTTATTTTATTAAATTTTTAATATGAATATATTATTTTATTTTTTATTTATTACAGTATATATAGTTTTTTTGAGTTATAAGTGTCAGGAAGTTTTTTAAGTCTTAATATCAACCCGGAAGTTACAAAAAACGTAGCAATTTTGCCTCGATCATTATCTCATTTAATTTTGACAGTTAATTTAACCAGATTGCTTATGTGGCATGCCATGTCATCATCTCTCATTTCTTCTATTCCACGTCACCCCCACCACATCATCCCCTCCTTCACCCCCTTGCGAGTTTCAGAACCCCCTTCTCTCTCTCTCCCTTTTCTTTTAAGTTCCAGTACGCCATCAATGTACAGAGGAGAGAGAGCAATAAAGAGAAAGAAGACAGAGTAACCAACCCAAGAATCCAACACTGCAGAACGAGATCATCACATATGTGCAAAAACGGAAATGATATTATGACAAAAAATTTGCAGATGATAACGAAGAGGTTTTGTCAAAATCTCTATGTCACACCACAATCACTCTGATAAAATAAAAAGGTTCGCAAGAAAGATCTCGGGAGTTTTTTTTTGCCAAATTTGAGTTGCTAACGATGATTTGTGAAGGAGAACAACTCAACACTCCAAATTGATTTTTTGTCCTTCTCCCTGCAATTCAGATTTCAAAGAAAAACACAAACCAAAAATATAAATTTTAGAAACCATAAATCGAACACAATTTTGGAGATTGAAACCCATAAATCCTATTGTGGTAATAAATGCTAATAAATGGTGAGAACCTGCGAGAGAAGACAACAAGAAGCACAAAGATGAAATCTCGAACCACGATGGAAAAAGAAGCATGAAGATGAAATCTTCAACTAGCAGAGGAAGACACAACGAGGAACTCAATCTTCTGAAACCCCAAAAAAAAAAAAAAAAAAACAACAGAGCATATCCTTCGATCCCACAGTGGTCGGCAGTGATATGGTCATCCAACACTCCGAATCGATTGAATTAGCAGCGAGAGGAGACGGTTGTTTTGCAGCTACTGGGCTTTCGGATATGCGAATCTATATTTGTGATCTCCGTCTCCACCTCCGATGCCGAAGTAAGAGCAAACGGAGTGATCGACCCAATGCTTCCCGTGAACTTCTACTGCAACAACAGCAACTAGGCGGTCTCCATCTCCGACGCCGTCATCGGCCCCTATATCCATCATCAACGGCTACGGCAACAACAGAAACTAGTCCATCTCCTTCTCCGACGCGGTCATCAGCCCCGGTATCCATCATCAATGGTGAGCGATTCTTGAATCTCTAAGAAAGGGACGGAGGGGCAACAACAATGAAGGCAAATGGTGAAGACGAGAAAAGGGGGGGGGGGTAGTGAAGGGCTTCTTGTTGGGCATTCTAAAGGGCTTAAAAGTACGAGTGAGAGAGAGGGGAATTTTCTGGAACTCAAAGGAAGTTTGAGAGGCGATGATGAGGTGGCGAGTGATTTGGAATAGAGGAAGGAAGAGTTAATGATGTGATATCTCATGTGGCATGCCACCTAAGTAATTTGGTCAAACTAAAGGTCAAAATTAACTGAGATAACGGTTAGGATAAAATTACTATGTTTTTGTAACTTCCGCGTTGATATTGAGATTTAAAAAACTTCCTGACACTCATAGTTCATAACAGTTTATTTAGGGCAAATTTGCACCTTTTGTCCTTTTTTTAAAAAAAGTGTATATATTAAATAGGGAGAATCCCAATAAAATCCTGCTAAAATACCTAAATCTAAATAAAACCCTGCACTTTTAATAATTTACTAATTAGGCTATGAAGTCTCATTAGGAATTTCTAAATGTTGTTAAATAACCAGAATGTTTCTCATTAATTAAAAAGAAAATTTGATTTTTTTTATCTTTCCAAATTGTCCCTCATATCTTATGATTATTTTTTAGACTAAAACATATGTGCAATTTTACAGTATTTAGAATTTGTACATATAGACAAAACTTTCAAAAGTATTCTAATAAAACATTTTAAATTACAACATAAATAGTCTTGAAATAATTTTTTTTGTTTTCTGTTGGTAAATATTTATTTTAAAATTTTAAAATATCTTAATTACAAAAAATATTTAATACTAAGTTCTCATAATTTTGTTAGTTTCATTTACTTAAGCAATTCCAACCAAAAAGGTTATTTATAATAACTTAGTATTAAATATTTCTTGTAATTAAGATACTTTAAAATCTTAAAATAAATATTTATCAACAAAAAAAATATTTATTTCCAAGCTATTTATGTTGTAATTTAAAATGTTTTATTAGAATATTTTTTTAAAACTTTTAATGAAACATACAAAAAATTTGAAAACTATAAAATCACTTGTGTTTTTTTACTCCTACAAAATAATCGTAAGAGATGAGAGATTACTTAGGAGGAGTAAAATAATTAATTTTTATTTTTAATTAAAGGGAGGCATTTAAGTCATTGGACAACATCCAAAAATTCTAAATTAGGCCTCATGGCCTCATTAAGAATTTGTTAAAAATGTAAGCCTTAATTT